TGCATATACAGATTTCACTGATCGTGCGCAACGTTCAAAGTAATGACCTACAAAAGTGTTGATGAATATTTCGACAAATAATTGTAGAATTTTTAAGTCTAATTAAATTTTTTTTCTTTTCAGTTAAAATAATGCCTTTATAATCGAGAGGATCGTTTGATACTTAGAAAAAAAGAAAATGAAATTAAACTTCCTAATATGGAAAAACGTTGAAAAATTTTTTTTAGGAATGTGAAAGAAAATTATTATATTTTAAAAAATAAGAAACTTTTATTTTATAAAAATAAAAAGTTGTTTATTTATAAAAATGAAACACAAATTTTGATTAAAGTTAAAAAATTTCTTTTTATAAAAATAAAAAAAATAGCTTTATTTATAAAAATGAAAAATTATTGTTATTTTAAAAAATTCTTTTAATTGTCTATGTAAGAATTCTATTTCTAAATTTAAAGAATACAAATTTCTACTTCGAAATTTTTCTCATATAAAAACAATATAATCAATGTTTGTATTTCTTGATCTAGATTAACCAATCTCGAAGTTTTTTTACTGTACAATTATTTTTCATGCAGATTAAAGTGGAATTTAATTTTTTGTTTGTCTTCCTTTTGTTCTTTTTTATAGCCTTTTCCCTTTTTCTTGTTATCATTGTATTGACTACTTCTTTAAACTATCATATATATCCGGTATACTTTCATTTTTCTATGAAGAAGGGAACTCGGCCAGTGATCATTCCTTGAAATTTTTATTACTTTCTTCCAGTCAAGGACAAAACATTGTAAATTGCTCACTTTTAAGTTGTAATGTTTTGTTGAATTTTCAATTTAATAAATTGTGGTCTAGTTAAACTTGCGCTTAAGTATAAATGGCACAAAGAAAGAAGTAATTTAATTATGTACAAATTACATTCCATTGATATTGTTCACTTAAATATTGAAGACGTTTTTTTAAGAGGAAAAGTATTTCTAAAAATTAAATAACATTTGCATTAAATTAAATAATTTTTTTTAAATTTCACAAGGTAATAAATCAATAAATTAAATAACGTTTATTTAAGATTAAGTAAAATTTTATTTTAAGCTAAGTTATATTTCTATTAAATTAACTAACATTTATTTTAAACCTTTTTTTTGTTTATCCATTTGTTTACATATTAATAAAATTAATAAATAAATTGAAAAATATTTATTTTAAACAAATTAAAATTACTTTTAAATTGAAGAATTTCTTTTTAGATTTTATTTTAGTTCTTTTAGAATAAAACTCTGTTAAATAATAAACCACCACAAAGAAATAAAAAAAATATTTTTAAATTAAAGAAAACTTTTTTTAATTTAAATAAACTTTTGAAAAACGTTTCACGAAGGTAGAGAAGCATTTATTCAAATTAAAAGATACTTTTCTAATTTAAATTTTTTCTCTCTATTAAATTCTCTTTCTACAAAATAAAACGAACTATTTTACGCACCAATAGATCGAGATAATATTAAGAACAGAAAATGTTTTTGATTTTCAAAATTTCTTTTTAATTAAAGAATAAAAAATACTTTTAGAAATAAAAGAATAGAATGGCAAAGAATAAAAAAATTAATAAAGAACAAAAGAATATGAATAATAGAAGAAAAATTTTTTAATCTTTAAAAAGGATTTTTTCTCAGGCTAAGCATTAGAGTTCATTAAAATCATGAACATGAATTTGATCGCATTATTATTTTACATGCTTTTTTATGACGTTTCTATATGTCGCTTATTTCTGGTGAAAGGAGGCAATTTAATCTAAATCATAATTATTAAGTAGATCTTTCAAATGAGTTGAAATATTTATAACAAACTTTTTTTTATTTTATTCATTTTTTTATATAGAAAGTAAGGTAAATGAAAATGAACAAAAAGCATGAAATTACTTTCTATATAGAGTGGCAATTATCATCAAAATTGTGACTGCCTGGTCTTTTCTTCTAATCTCGCAAGTGTATATAAAAGTTTATATGATATCTCTATTGTCAATACGTGCCACTATTATAGCGAAATGGTCCTCTCCCTCTCTCTCTCTCTCTCTACATAAAAAATTAATTTTTTAATTTATCTCTCTCTCTCTCTCTCTCTCTCTCTCTCTCTCTCTCTGTAAGTAAAAAATAAAATTTTAAATTCCTTTTTCTCTCTTGGAAAACTTTAATAAGTCAATTGTTTCTTCTTCTGACAATCGGAAACCAGCTTAGAAATTTATTTTTCTCAGCACATCGTAAATAGAATTTAAAGCGAAGAATAGATATTATTAAATTAAACACACGGATAAAATAGACTATAATAAATTTTTCTTTTATTTTTGTCATTTTCATCGCTTCCACTTTCTTCTTGTCCTATAAATCTAGTGAAAGTTGTAAAAGAAGTCTTAAAACAATGAAATCATTTTAAAATCTTAAGGTCAAAAAATTCAAGACTATAACCTAGTATAAAACTGATTTTACATTCTTTTATACAAGCGAAATTTCTCTCTCTCTCTCTCTCTATATATTTATATGGAAATTGGAAGCGATAAATATGATTAAAATAAGAAAAAATTTATTATTGTTTATTTCTGATTATAAGAAGAAGGCACAATTGACTTATAATGGTTTTACCAATTTTTATAAATGTTACTTTTACAAATTTTACATTAGAAAAGTAACTTTTGTTTTTCTAATTTTTTTCTGGAAAAAAAAAATTTAGAAGAGTTGTTGTTTTGAAAAGTTATACTATTTTTTTATATAAAAGTTACTTTTAGAAAAGTTACTTCTACATAAGAAAATAATTGTAGAAAAGTGTTTCTTTAGAAAATATTTTCTTTAAAAAGATTTTATTTAAGAAAGATTTTCTTTAGACAAGTTTTTCTTTAGTAAACTTTTTCTTTAGGAGTTTTTTTATTTAGTAAAGTTTTTATTTAGGAAAGTTGGCGCTCAGAAAAGTTTTTCCAGAGAAAAAGTTTCCTTTAGGAAATATTTTATTAAAGAATTTTTTCTTTAGAATAGTTTTTCTAAAGCAAAGTTTCTCTTAACAGAACTATTTTTCTAGAAAAATTTTTTTTTGGAAAAGTAACATTTGCAAAAAGTTTTTTTTTGAAAAATAACTTTCATGAAAAAATTTATTTTTGAAAAGTAACTTTTAAGAAATGTTTTTTGGAAAAGTAACGTTTAAGAAAAGATTGCTAAAAAATATCACTTTAAAAATAATTGTATACCTTGGTGAAAAATAATCAAAATTAATTGTTAAAAATCAGGAAAAGTTACTTTGGCATAAAAAAGATACTGTTACAAAAGTTAATAAATTAATAAATGTTAGATTTTCAAAAATAAATTTTAGAAAAGTTACCCTTAGAATAGTTATTTTTACACAAGTTTTTTACGATACAAAGTTTACCAATTTTTTTATAAAAAAAAATAAAAAATGTGAAAGCTTAAAATATGTTTATGAAAATTTAATCTAGTGCCTTTCCTCTAAAAGTTACTTTTGCTGCGTCTGAAAAAAGTATCAAGAAAAACATTCTTAAGAATAATTGAAGGAAGTGAATTTATCATTCGGTGATTAAATATTAAATTTGAAAGAAGTTAACAATTTTCCCGAATCAATCTACACAAATAAATTAAATATCTTAAATAAATCTCGATAAGCTCATGGGCTTCAATGTATCGATAGCACAGCTGACCTAATACAGAAACCTGCTTAATTTGAAAAATATTTTCGAAATTAATTAATTAATATTTCTTAAGAATAGTTAGCTTCTTTAACAAAGAATTTAAAAGAATTATATTAATAAAAGTTTTACTATTTGGCTTTTCTTTAAAAATTGCTTCAACTGTTACTTCTGAAATCAATAATTTTAAAAACATCTCCTTTAGAATATTTTAGTTACTTTATAAAAAAGTTTTTTTTTCAAACAATGATATTTTCTAAAATAATTATTTTAGAAAATATCATTGTTTGAAAAAAATTTTTTTATAAAGTAACTAATAATTTTATTAACCTTAGTAATTACTTAAATAAAAATCCATAAGAAAACATTATTATAAAAAGTAACCTCTTCAAAAAGTTGCTTCCTTAAAAATTAATTTTTTAAATGTTACTTCAACAAAAGTTACTTTAACGAAAGTTACTTCAACAAAAGTTACTTCAACGAAAGTTACTTCAACGAAAGTTACTTTAACAAAAGTTACATTTTCCAAAAGAAACTTTCGATAAATTTACTTTTTCGAATTAAGTAAAAATTTCCATCTTGTAAAAAATTGTTTTAAAAAAATTGCAAATAAAAAAAGCAAAGAGAAATTTTGCCAATAAGTGATAAAAATTGGCCAGTCTGACTAACACTGACCTCTTCCACTGATAATTTCGCACACTAAATCTTCAAAATCATCATTTAACAAATTTATATCATAAACGAGAGAAAATAAAATTTTTTTTTTAAATTTCAAAAAATTTACAAAATTATTATTTAACAAATTTAAATCATCAATGAGAGAAAATAAAAATTTCACGTTTTATAAACATTTCCTCAAAGCAGGAGGCAAACAGCATTTAAAATATATAAGAAATTGTTTCGCTCGTTTGTTACAAGGCGATGAATAAAAAAGATGTTCGCTTTTAATTTACATCAGTGAAACCGTAACAAGCAGTCAATTTATTTCTCAGCTACCAACTACTTAGGCTCGTTTTCCAAGATAAGCAACTAATTCACAATTTTGTTCGATTTTCCATTACTTGTGTCTATAATATATATATATAAAGTCGACCGAGCACCTTTCTTTATTGTCGATGCCTTTGTTTTTTGTAAATTTGACTGAGATTCGAATTCTCCGCTCTATTTGACGCATATCCCTACTTTATCACCTTTGGATGGATGGATGGTACCTCTCCAAGTGGCCGCAAAACTTGCCTATATACTCAACTATGGAGAATGTAATATGAATGTCGACAGGCAAAAAGGAAAAAGGACCGGTAGTTCTTTCCTATATATAGTGCAACTATCCATTCGTACAATTCAGTACAAATCACGCGACCCGTCAGTGTTAATCTCGTCGAAGGGGACAGAAAAAAAAAAAAATTTTCTTGTCTCAAAAAACTTTTTCCCCCACTCATCTCTTTTTACAACCCTTTTTTAAGTGTCCTTCGGCGAGAGTGATTTGAACGAAGAGAAAGAAAATTTTTTTTTTCTTTCGTTTTATTTATTTTATTAAATCAAAAATCGTAGAAAAAATTAATTTAAAACAAAAAATGATATCTAATCAAGTGAACGGCCTATTGTTGCCCTTAATTGTTGTTGTCGTATTTTCGACATTCGCACGTGCCGCTATTGAACATGGTACGGTCAGTCAATCAATTGAGGATACACCGGATAATTCGGCTACAATTTTAAGTAAAGATTGTGGTAAATCTTATAGTGCCAAATGTCTCAAACTTGATGTTGTGTCATTTTTTGATCGGCTTTCCGAGCAGGATGATTTGGGTACGTGTTATATGTGTGTGTGTGATTTATTTTTCAGCCAATTTTGTTTAATTGATTTTTTAATAGAATTTATTAAACAGTAATTATTTATTTCATTTTTTTTTTACTTTTCATAAGATTCTCCTTTATACAAATAATTAATTTTTTTCTAATAAAAAGTATTTCCTAATTAAAAAATATTGTAATTTTTATGCATTGATAATTTAATTTAAGTAATTATAAGATAAAAAAAACAATTGCTACTTCATTAAAAATTATTGTAAATTAATAACTTTAAGGGCCTTTGAATCATTATGACATCATAGTGTTAGAACACATGCTTTGCACAAGCTGTGACGTAATAATGGTTAAAAATGCACTTAATGAAAAAAATTAATTGAAGGAAAAATACATAATATAAATTTTATGTTGATAATTTTCACAATTGTTGAGAAAAATTCGACGATTTTGTTTAATAGATTTTTTAGTAGAATTTATATAATATTTTTCGGAAATAAATAAATAATTAATTAATCAATTCATCGTTTTAGGAACAGTTATTTAAATAAATAAATAATAAATAACTAAAATAATTTTTATTACTATAGTTTTTAAAAAAATACTGGATTTTAAATCAATAACCAAAAATATATTTAAAAAACCACTAAGAGATCAATAAATTAATTATTATTAATTAATTAATAAATTATTAATAAATAATAATGAATACTTACTTTTAAATAAATAAACAAAAATACATTTAAAAAATCACTAAAAAATTAATAAATAGTAGGTACAGTTATTTCTTTTAAATAATGGTTATAAATTAAATAATAATTTTTAATATTAATTGTTGACCTAATTGAATAACAATTATTAATAATATATTTAAATAATAAATAATATTAATAATAATTAATAATTTATAATAGAATTAATAAATAATTGATAATGAAGCAAATAGTAATAATTATAGAACTTGTAAATATTTTTGAAAAAATATTTAAATCAAAAAGTTTGGAATTTTTTTTTGTAAAATTTGTTTCAATAATTCAGTAAATATATTATAGAATATATAATTTAGTAATAAATAATTAGTACTACAATAACAACAATTGAAATAAAAACATTTACAATCTAAATAAATGACTATAGGCCACGGTCTTCAAATAAATCAAATAAATTTTAATAAAAAATAATAACAATAATAATATAATTTTTATCCCACATGCACAAAAATGGCGCTTTTAGATAGCTGACGACAGGGAGTAAAGTCACTCATTTGTTCGACCATATGAAAATGGCGTCCATTTTCTCCCATGTGCAAACATAACCGCTGATCCCATGCGCTATTTTTGCCTAAGGGAGAAAACGGCCGCCATTTTCATATAAGTCGAACAAGTGAATGACTTTTACTCCCTGTCGTCTGCTATCTGAAATCGCCACTTTTGTGCATTAGGAATAAAAAATATCGTAAGTAACATGGGAATAAAGGCAGCCAATTTGTTTACGATGATTTTTGTGACACTCGTTCCGGTCTCGGGGCGCCCTCGACCTCCACTCTTGTCACAAAAATCACCGTAAACAAATGGCTGCCTTTATACCCTTGTTGCTTAATGTACTATTTAAATAATCGTTTTAAATTTCAACACATTGCTATCGAATAATAAAACATTAGAGTTGACAAATGATTGTTAACTTTATTTTTTATTAAAATAATAATAAGTAAAAATAAAAATTCGAAAATGAATAGAACATTCCCAGAAGAAATGTTTTTGTCAACATAAACTAAATAATTTTTTTTTATTCTTATAATAAACAATTAAAATAATAAATTAATAACTTATTTAAATTTGCCTCGTAATATTAATAAATTCTTGATAAAAGTAGTTTTAAAAAATTATAATTTGTGGCATTAATTTTAAATCAAACAAACAAAAAATCTATAATATGGGTAATAGTATATAAAGGAAAAAGTAATATGTCTATAACTAGAATATAAAAACTATTCAAAAGAAAAATTACTCGAAAATAAAAATTTTAATTAGAAGTAAAAATACATGTAATTTAAATATGTAATAAATTTAAAGGAAAAAAATAATATTATAAAGAGGAAAAAAATGTAATTGAAAGCAACAAATATTAATATAAAAGAACGAAATTAAATTAAAAGGAAGAAAGCTTAAATTAAATTAAAAAAATTAACGGCAACAATCTTATTAAAGGGAAAAAATTAAAAGGAAAGGAACATTAAAGTAAAATGAAAAAATTTTTTTAAAAATGGATTAAAGAGGAAAATAGGTAATGATTTAAAAGAAAAAAACTTATATTGAGAGGGAAAAATTATAAATTTGAAAATTAAACAAAAGTAAAAAATTAAACTAATTAAATACGAATATTAAAATAAATATTTTCCCTTAGGTCTTCTTCCTGGGGTGTCAGTTATCAAGGACGCGAGTACAACTGAAATTCCCTCGTCAGAAATGATGGCCAATTTAGCGAGGGATTTCCCTCACGACGCCGACAAACGACTCGATGCATATTTAATACACAAAGTGGGAAGTTATCTCAACAGTCATGCAATCTCCATAAAACTCTTTGATCCGCGAACTTTCGAAGCTGCCCGAAGTTTTAACGATGAGGCACTTAATCGACTGGGACTAATTGGCAACAAAAATCTCGAAGCTGGTGAGAAATCATCTAAATTTTGCCACTAATTTTCTTGCCCTCGCCCCTCAGAAAAAGGAGCTAATTCAAAAAATTTTACATTGTTATCAAAACTTATATTCAATTATATTTTTATTTTTTTAAACCTAATTAATTTAATTAATAATAATTTATTTATTTTATTCTAAAAAATTTAAGATATTTAACAATTTCTGTTCCAATTTAATTTTATCAATCTTTCTTTTTCATAATTTCCTCAGTGAAAATTTCTTTTGATACACTGAAAGATTTGTATTTTCAAAAACATTGTACCATATTTAGAGAAAAAATATTCTTTTCATGTTGTGGAAAATTTTTCTGGTTTGTTTGTCTCTAATAATAGTTAATTTAGAATAATATTTAATCAGGTCTGTTTTAGTTTTTTGTTTAGTAAGAAAAAACATTTTTAATTAAATTTTAGTCTTTTAGGTTAGAATTAAAGAAATGAAGGGGTTTTAGGTTCTAGGAGTAGGGGTGACCTAAAATACGTTTTGTTAAAAAACGAACATTTTTTTGGTTAAAATTGTTAAAAAATAGATTTTTTCCTTAAAATTTTAGTAGGGAACTAAATTTCAGATTTTTGGGTCAAAATGATTCTTCTAGGGAAGGGGGTAAAAAACATTATTATCTCGATTGATAGAGTAGTACATTTTTTTCTAAGAAGTAAAAAAAATAGCGAAAATTCTTAGCAATTTTTTATTTTTCCCGTTTTGTTTTTTTTAGAGGAGGGGGAGACCAGAAATAATATTTTCTTTTAAAATAATAAATTGTTTAAAAATAGTGAAAATTCTTACTAATTTTTGTCTTCTTTTCTTTTTTTACGTTTTGCTAAAAAAAATAACAAAAAGTTAAAAAAGACCTTAAAAAAACTATAAAAAGGAAAAACATAATAAAGAGTTTAAATTTCAGATTTTTAGGTCAAAATGACTATTTTAGTTGGGGAGACCAGAAATCAATAGAATAGCTAATTTATCTTTAAGAAAAGTAAAAATTCCGACTGATTTTTTTGTTTTCCTGTTTTACGTTTTGAGTAAAAACAAGATAAAGAAAATACAAACGAAAAAGAAAAATTTTATAAAGAAAACAATTAGTAAAGGTCTAAATTTAAGATTTTTAGGCCAAAGTGATTATTCCAGGGGAGAGGGAGACCAGAAATTAATAGAATAGTAAATTTATTTTTAAAAGAAATGAAAATTTGTACCAATTTTTTGTTTTTTTACATTTTTTAAAAAAACAAGAAAAAATAGATAAGAAACAAAAAAGAAAATTTTTACAAAGAAACAAATTAGTAGAGGCGTAAATTTTAGATTTTTATGTCAAATTGACTCCTCTACTGGAGGGGGAGACCAGAAATTATTATCTCCTTCAATAAAGCAGTAAATTTTAGATACAAAAAAAATTAGTCGAAATTCTTAGCTACTTTTTTTCGTTTTGTTTTGTTAAAAAAAATATGAATTAGTAGAGATTAATTCGTTAACAAGAAAACAATAGAGAAAGTTTACAAAATTGAAAAATAGTTTCTAAACAAGTCAATGATTCACTTGATTTATTTTATTGCCAGACAAGAAAATTATTAAGTCCACCTTGTTAAAATTTACAATTCATTAATCATTTATAACTCTTTTTTCATTCATTATCATTACTTTTCTAACCACTTTCAGTGGTAAATAATTTAATGATCCGAATCAATGAAAAATTGATTTCAAATCTAAGAAGAAAACAGAAAGACAAATAAAAAATTTCATAAAAATTACAAATGAAAAACTTCCGCAAACTTGAATTATTATTGATCTTCAAGAAATTATCTGTAAAAATAATAAAATTGTTATGAATGTCAATTAAATTGGAGGAAAAAAAGGAAAGGAAGGAGTGGGGGAGGGATAATTATTATATTGGAAAATTTTTTTTCTTTTTTTTCCTGTTTTCAGGTCGTGGCAAGAAGGACAAGGGTATGGGTAGTTTAATGGCCGGTTTAATGATGATGAAAGGAACATTAGGCGCAGTTGGATTTGGTGCACTTGCACTACTTGCTGGCAAGGCATTAATGACTGGCCTAATGGCACTGATGCTCTCTGCAATTATTGGATTAAAATCACTGGCAAGCGGTGGCGATAAGAAAACAACGTATGAAATTGTCAGTAAACCAGTTTATTCACAATCGCATACACATAGTTCGGAGGAGCATCATGGACACGGTTATGGACACTCGGGTTATGGTAGATCTTTGGATTATGCTCAGGAAGCCGTTCACGAAGCTGTACGAAAATATGGAAATGTTCGCGACCGCAGATCGCTATTGTAATGTACATTTTTTTTTTGAAAAAAAAATTTAGACATACCAAATGATTGAGGTAGGATCAAATCTCACTCAGAGCTTTCATACTTCATCAATGTTTTTGTTTTTATTTATTTTCTATTTATTTTTTTTTTTTTGGTTTTTAAAAGAGAAGTTTTTTTTATTCTGATTTTTTTACTCGGACTTTTTTCAATTTTATTCTTCTCATTCTGACTTTTACAATTCTTAATTTTTTCATTATTACTTTTTTATACCGACTTCTTGATTTTTATATTTTCATTCTGATTTCTTCTACTTCAATTTTTTTCATTCTTCTTTTTCCTTTCATTTTTCCTTCTTTCATTTACTTTTCTTTTTTTCTGCTTCTCATTTACTTCAGTCTTGTGTATCTTCTTTCTCTATTTCTGTGATCTCTCTTCCTGTAATTCTACACTTGTGTATTATAGCTCTTTCTCTCTCTCTCTCTCTCTAACTACTTTGCCTGTCACTTCTATGAAAGATAGCTCTGAATCAGTCTTAGATTGTTTCTATTTTTATTATTATTATAATTATTATTTAGTTGTATAAGTATTTATTTGTGAATTTCTGTTCATATTCAATTGTACAACTGGGTGTACCAATGAACGAGAAGATGTATTTTTTTATTTATATTAGTTTATAAATAAAGAATCTTTATAAAATATCGTTTTTTGTCTCCATGATTCGTAACTTTACTAATTTCAATTAATTTTTTAAATAAGTAATTAAAAAGCAATTAATAAAATAAATAAAGTTTATTTGCGAAGATAGTGAGGTCCCTAGTTACATAAAAACCCGGAAAGGGTGTACGTGGGGAATTAATAAAAAAAAGAAAAAAAATTAAATAATGAATAAAGCAATAAATTAGTAAAATAAAAAATTAATAAAATAGCAAATCAATTAAAAAAAACCATAAAGTAATTTAATGCAACAATAAATTGATTCAATAATACATTAATTCACCCATAAATTAATTAAATATCAAGTTGATAAAGTAACAAAATGTGTAAATTATAAAATTATAAACTAATTAAATAATAAATTAATAATAAAACTGAAATTAAATTAAAATATGATTTATAAGTAGAAAGCACTATGCAACTGTCTATTTTTTAAAAAAGTAATTACTTACAATTATTTTAAACATTAAGAAAACAATAAAAATGTTCCTTAAATTAATTTTTAGTTTTCATTAAACAAGAACTACTTGAGAATACTTTTAAATACTTAATTAGGAATAATTGTGATTTAAATAAATAATTATTTAATTAATTAATTTTGTCTAAAAATTAACAAAAATTTGTTGATGCGTTAAGAATCCACTAGAGTAAATTTTTTAAGTTTGGAAGCATTCTTCGAATAGATGAAAAATATCATAAAAGATAATGATTAGAAAAACTAGTGAAAATATTTCAAAAATAAAACAAGAAACAATTTTTTTCATAAGAGTTTAATTAAAAAATTATAGATAAGATTATAAATATAAATTATAGATAATAAAAAGTAGATTTTGCTTTGATTTTCTATTTGCATTCCAGCGTTTCAGATGAGGTTAATTAAAAACTGCTTATATTGAGAAATGAAACGAAATTGTTTTTGTGACTAATTTTAACGAGGTGATAAATAAATATAGAACTTTGAAAAGTGGGTCTTGGTTTTTCATTGATTCTTCCAATATGCATTCACGTATACATCTTAGATTACAAGAAAAAAAAAAGATTTGTTATCACTTCTTTGAGGATTATGTAGGATCTGGGGCAAAGTGAAAGGTCCTGGAATTTATATTATCAGAAGAGTTAGATTTCCATAAAGTTGACATTAACTTTTTATTTACCATTCGTGATATTCGTACTGTAAGCTTTCTTAGTTATGTACTTTTTTGTCTTTATTTTTTCAATTGGTTCTATTTTTTGGTAGAAAAAAGTATTCTTTGTTTAAAATTTTAATTTTTTGTACTGCATATTTAACAATTTGGTATTTCTGTTTGGTTTTTTTCTTTATTTTTCTTATATTTATTTCTTTTCCTTGCCTTTCACTTCTCTTCTTTTATTTTTTCCTTCCTTTTTCTATATTTTTCTTTATTCCCCTTTTTTATCTTTTCATTTTTTTCTTTAGGTAAAATTATCTTTATTGTTTACCTACCTAATTTTTCTTTTTTTCTTTACTCCTTTTTCGTAATTTATTTTTTTTCTTTTTCTTTCATTCTTCTTCCTGTATTTTTTTGCTTCATTTTATTCTTATATTTTTCTTTTCGTCTATCTTACTTTTTCCTTATTTATCACCCATTCTTTAAATCTTTTCTTTCTTTTTCTTTCTTCAATTATTTTTTCTTCCAATCTTTTGCTCATATTTTCTTTTATTATTTTTCTTCTCTATTTCTTTTTAAAATTTTTATTTCTTCTCTACTTTTTTAGGGTTCCGTACCCCGTAGGAACCCTATTAAAACGGTTACAAAAATGACCATGCACCCCCCCCCCCTCTAGCGCTTACAGTTTTTCATCTAGAGAGCTAAAAATTGGTATACATATGTATATGTTTCATGCGTAGATTACTGGAAAAATATAGCGTACACTGTAAAAAAAGGGAGTTAAATTTTAACTCCTAAGGGGATTCTATAAAAGTCGCACCCATTGGGGAGTTAATGACAGGGGAGTTAAATAAAGAGAGTTAAAATTTCACACCCAAATGCTAACTCCCCATGGAAAAATAACTCGCGCGGGTGTTGAATGAAGGGAGTTAGAAATTAACTCTCTTTTGGAGTTGATTTTTAACTCGAAAAATTTCACTCCCAACTTCCGAGTCCGTTAACTCCCTAAATTTTTTACAGTGTACACTGTAAAAAATTTAGGAAGTTAACGGACTCTCTTTTGGAGTTGATTTTTAACTCGAAAAATTTCACTCCCAACTCCCGAGTCCGTTAACTCTCTAAATTTTTTACAGCGAGTTATTTTTTCCATGGGGAGTTAGCATTTGGGTGTTAAATTTTAACTTTCTTTATTTAACTCCCTTGGCATTAACTCTCCAATGGGTGCGACTTTTATAGACCCCCCGGGGGAGTTAAAATTTAACTCCCTTTTTTTACAGTGTGGTAACTTTTGAATATGTTAAATTTTTTTTTTTTAATTAATTTTTTGGAAAATTTTGTATGTAGATCTTTTTAATAAAGCTTGAGAATGATTATTTTATAGATATTTGAGCTTAATTCTTTCTTTAGTTTTATATACAAACAATTTAAAAATTTGTAATTTAGAGGTTAACTAATTTATTTGAAAAAGTTAATTTTCGACTGTTAATAATTATAAATAGTGTAAATAAACAAATAAAATGTACTCTGAACAAGTTTATTAAATTAAAAATAAGTAACATTCAAATATAAAATTTTTATTTTTATTTAGATATAGAAAAAATAAATTTTAAATAAACAAACACTTTTATACAAAATATCAAATAATTTTTGAAACTCATGCCAAAATTCAAATTAAATAAACATGTTTTATTAGAAAAAAATTATTAATATTCTGTTTTTTACTTTAAACTACTTTAATTACTAAATAAATAATAGTTTTAATCATACCTGTTATTGAAATTATATGTTTTGATACAGGTTATTCGAGGTTAATAATATTTATTCAAAAAAACAAAACACTTCCATTAAGGGTGTTCGAACAAGAAAAACCTTTAAAAATGGCTGTCAGAACTTATGCTTCATCTGAAATGGATTATTATACCAATTGAGACATTTATCGCAATTTTTAAAAAATCAGCCGGAATCTTGAATGGTTGTACTTTCATTTTCTTCCAATAAATTGAATATTTATACATAAATAGAATGATAGGAAGTAAACTAGAACCACACAAGCGAAATATAAACAAATTAGGGGAGAGTAGGGCAAAATGGGGTAGGCGGGTCAAATGGGGTACCTCTGTTTTTCCATGATAGGTACTTTTAATTTTTTTTTCCTCGACATATATCATTAATGTTGATAAGAAACTGTTATTAATTATGAAGACACTCCAAAGAAAATTTTTTTTTGAAAGTTATACAACTTTTAAGTTTTAAGCAAAAAAAATATGAATTTTTTTCAAAATTAAAGTGCTCACCAAACTTTTTAGGATAATGCATTTAATTTGGCAAGTGTGGTATCTTTTTCAGTACTTATTCTAGAGTAATTTCCAATAGAATAGATTGTTTAATTGTTTACAATAACTTGTAAACATTGCATTTTGTTTTAATATGCAGTGTGGGGCAGAATGGGGTACCTAAGTGTGGGGCATGCCGGAAGTTACGCCGTTTCATTAAAACTATTTAAAAACATTATATTATGCATATTTAAAGGTTTCCTGCAGAAGAATCGATATTTTTGCTTCGAGGAATTTATACTATCGATGTTTCATTATCGGTATATCGATATTTTGCAATATCCATGTTTTGTATAGTTATTTGATGACACCCCATTTTGCCCCACGGGTGGGGCAAAATGGGATTTTAGCACTTTCTCAGAAAATACGATATAAGTTCTTTCAAAAATTTTTTTCTCCACTATTATCATAATTTCCTCAAAGCTAAGTGTACAAAGAAGAATTCTGAAGTTAAGCTGAATCGATTTATTCGTTTGGTTCTCTGTAAACAGCCAATTTCAAAAAGGTACCCCATTTTGCCCCACTCTCCCCTAGTGCTATTAAAAAATATCTTCAGAGGGCAGCACCCACCGGGTACATAGAAATCTCTTAGTTTACTTCCTATTGTTGCATATGTTAAAAAATCTTTAATTTCTTAGACTCAAATTAAAGCAAAAATTTTCAAAATTCCGGCTGATTCTTTTTAAATTACTATCAATGTGTCAATTGCGATAAACATTCGTATCAAAAAAAGTATAACTTCTGACCGCCATTTTTAAATACCTTTCTTGATCGAACACCGTTAAGCGAAACGAAATTAGGACCTGGAGTTTACAGGAACTGGAGTTTATAAATCAAAGAAAAAAATTCATTAAAACCGTAAAAATTCATAAAAGTAAACAATTTTTGCAGATTATTAAAGAGATTTCCTTACCTAAAGTCACTATTATTTTTATTTCTTTTTATACATTTAGAATTCGGTAATTTTGGCTGAACTGGAGTTTACATACCATTAAAATACGCTATAAAATAATAGTAACTTTTGTAGTTTTAAGTCTAAAAATTAT